ACGCTTTGAATAGTCGGGGGAGGGCCCTTGATGCGTTTGATTTCCTGTTTCCCTAATTATTATTATTATTATTATTATTATTATTATTATTATTATTATGATATTAGGGAAACCTTGAGGAGGAATTGCGCACTTCAATTTCCGCCAATATTTAACACTGTGGTAGACGTTGGCCCACACGAGTTCCTCCCGTATTACCCGCTTACAAGTTAACATTATCCAACAGGATAAAGGATAGCCCTGACGCTGAGATGCAGAAATGACTTGATGTCACTTTTTCCAAATATGTAGCGTAGCCGCAGCCAATGATTGATGATACTGAAAACCAGCATTTTCCATCTTTTAAGATAGACAACCCCAGAACAAATGACTCGGTAACACGAATTGGGAACACGTGATCCGGGTGCACACGACGTCAGAACATAATGGCTTGGCTATGATAGTATGAGATACTGGTATGCCCTAAGGTGGGCATAGAAGCTGTCCTCAACGCTGAAGGAGAAACCACTTCTTGCCATCAATATTTTGTATGGTAATTATAGATATCTTTTCCACAGAGACCGTTCCCACAAAAATATAGCTTGTAATAATATGATAGTACCCATTTTGGGAGCCTTCTCAACTCTTTGTAAACATCAGAAAATATTCACCCACCAATACCCGAATTTCCAAACCTGGTTTAGTCTACATATAAATACCACATTCCCGCCCAGAAGTGGCTCTGGACCTTAGGTCCAGTTTCGGGCTTTATTTCTCAGAGTTGTGCTGGGAATCATGGGTTCACGCTGTTACAAGCTATCACAAGGGTTGACATGAAGAGCTGTCAACCCAATCAAATCACAAGAGACATATTGGAGAGAGGTTATTTTAGGTTGTTCTAGGCGGAGAAAAACCTCCAGGTTGTAAAACTTCTCCATAAACCCCACTACCGAAATGCTACCATCCTGAAACCGGGGATAGCAGGAGAATAAGAAAGCGGGAACCAACTCCACAACCACTGGAACCACCCTAACTTTGATCCCGGCCTTGGCGAAAAATCTCGATTTCTTGCGGGTCTTGACGATATTCGCATGGTAGCTAGGTGGGTTTCTCTTGCGAAGCAGTCACTTCTGCGGTACCAGCTCTTGTACGGTACTTGGCTCGGATATCGTTCTGAGCAGTTTGTACCAGATACTGAGGGAACCACGAGTATAACTGTTTCTCTGGTCGAGAGAATATCCACCCATCGAAAAATAATTTACAAGCGGTTAGTAACAGGTGTGATCTCTAGGGGGTAGGTAGGTTGCGCGTAGTGTCGTGTACTCCCGGTGTATGATAAAAAGAGGATAGTGAAGAGAGGGTGATGAAGAGAGGATGAGAGTTATTTGTGATTCGGATATATTCTTGTCAATGCTCAGATCTTGGTTACCCCAGTTTTTACGTGTCCTTTCTCGGGAGGTGAGCATCCAGCGAAATGGATGGCACGGTGGTGATGCAACCTTGTTCTGGGCTGATCAGAAATACGGTAACTATAGATAGGTTGATCTACAAGTATGGCTTCATAGGCAGATGTTGAAAAGAGTTTTGAACGATAGAAGCGGTATCGGTTCTTCCAATTCATGCTGGTTTAAATATACCAAACAAAGGGAATGGAGTACTGTATTACCTCGAGTTATACACTTTTTCTCCGAGGGGGGGGATTGCCCAGATTCGAGTGTGCGGGAAGTCTAAAAAAAGACCCTTAAATGCCCCGAGTCAACACAGTAACCAAGGGATGGGTTTTAGCTGGGTCAAACACTGCAGTTGAGTATTCTAATCATTCGTGTGCAAGGGCTGGGATGACGATTCCTCTGGCTTCCAAGTCGGGCTGCGCGGGTATCATACATAAGGGATCCTCCCTCATATGATGTTGTATTAATATGGGTTCGTTATGCGATTGAGCTCATTACTCAGTTGACTACTCTATCGTGGTACTAGTTTGGTTATCTCGCTCGCCTTTCCTTTCTCTTTACCGCTCGGCTATGTTGTATTTTTGTTCTTGTTTTCAAAGAATTACAACATAATATGATAGGCTCTCCCATCCGAGTGATCATTCATGACCACGGATAAAACGGTCTTATGCAATCATAGTAGCACCCTACCAACAGCAGATAAAGTCTAATGCGAAAAGACAAATCATAATATTATTATCATATATATTGCTCGAAATGAATAACCTACTAGCTAGAATATCCTAACTAAAACGCAAGTGAAGCCAAAACTCTATAGTGCAACATACCGCCCTCACTCACATTAAATTTTTATGATAATAACCCACCCGTGAGCTACCAACTTTTATTTCAGCTAAAAATTCTGGTCGCTGGGCAGTATTGTTGAGGTTAGCCTTATTCTCGTAAGAGTTGGCTCCTTTAAACGATCGAAAAACGACAAATGAAATGGCCATGTGACGAATAGCGAAAGAACGAAACACCAAACCAAACAATACCAGACGAATCATTAGTCGCTGTGAAGAACCAGAACCTATAGCCGCAACACAAGGCTTTGGAAAGGAGGGAAAGTTCGCTCCCATTCAACACCACTAATCAAACTAAGCGGGAGGCGCCAGGAATAGATCAATCACGGAAAAGGCATTCCACTAGCTTGCACCGATCACCACACGTAGCTACTTAAGTTCCCCTTTCCTCCGCGCACTCCCGTGCTAACGAAAGAAAGACAGGCTTCATCGAGGAGGGTTCCCACTTGTTCCTACCTCCCCACAATCCTTTTGACTCTCCCACAGCCAGACTGCTTTCGAGGGGTGCGCCATTTCCTTCCACGGATACGTTGATCTAAGGGACATCGCGGAAACCATTATGCGAAGGAACGAATGAATGAACGCACGTAGTGATTAACTGAAAATGAACGGATGAGGAGCGGCAAACACTCCAACCCTTCCATCATGCCGAGCTGTATTTGCGCTTTCGAACAGCTTAGTCAACCGAGGAGCCCCTGAACTTCTCCTGGTTGACCTAGCTAACTCCACGGTCCTCACCGCGGAGATCGGCGTCGAGGAAATGGATCGCTATCTTCCTGCTTTCCTCTGAAGAGAATTTTGCTTGCACCATCCTGATCATTGGCGTCTCGGGAGTGGAGAGATCTTTCATCACGCCTTCCTTCTAGCCACCAACAACGGGTAGGCCATCACCCAGACGTCCCACTAGGTATTGGGCTGGCTGTGGCGCTTCTCGAACGGAGAAAATATGAAGAAGCTATTAGCGATCAGTATAAAGTATTGATCCACTGGCATATTGTTGTCCGTACAGTAGAAATGGTTGTTGGTTTGAAAATATGTATCGATTCTGTTGAAATGTTACTCAATGGAATATTAAAACATCCCTTGGCAGAGCTGAATTTTTCGTTGATTGTATTACAACATCTGTCCACAGCGTGCACGATCTCCATTAGGTGATTGTCGATTGTATTAAAATGTTTGTTTGCAGCACATATAATCTCCACAAGGTGATAATCAAACCCCATTTAGCAATTATCTATCTCCGCTAGGCAATTACCAACCTCTCCTGCCAAGCCATCAATGGCCACTAAAATCTCACTTTTGATGTCGGCCTCACTGGTAATGAAACTTCCTTCACCAGATATTCTGGGGATATGTCAAGCCATCATAGCATGGTGATCAGTTATTCCGAGTCGGTTGTAGAACCTAAGGGCCCGTTTGACAACGACCGTTCCATTCAGTTTGAGACCGTTCCTCATACAAAAATGGTCATCCTTCCGTTCCCGCCAAACAGGCCCTAAGGGAGCGAATGTCAATATGGCAGATGCAGGTGGGAGCAACCTTCAGAGTGCCAGAGCTTACTTGAGGCTGGCCGTGCAAAAGGAGGGAAGGCAAGCAGCAGAGGTTGGATCAGAAAGCTATGCAGCGTGGGTGTGTGAACTTCGTTAGCAGGAGAGAGGTCAAAAATGAGAAAAGGAGGTTGTGTGCTCTCTGATACGAGAAGAGAAGAAATGAGATGAGATGAGAAGGGAGAGAGAAGTACCGTAAGAACTCGAATAAACGATCCTTGTGCTAGGACGTTGGACTTGCCTCTCTGAGTAAGGTCTGGTATTTTTTTCTTCTCTATTTGTCTCGGAGATGGGTTCTTTTGGTGTGGTTTTTCGACCCTTTTCCGGAGGAGGAAATTTTAGACTACCTAGCACAAGGATCGTTTATTCGAGTTCTTACGGTATTAGGAATGGAAGAGAGATGAGTTTAGATGGGGAGAGTCGTAGTCTACCCAAACGCAAATCACAACCATGCCTCGCGGCTTGGCAATGGGTGTGATCTTGTATATTTGGCCCTTCATAAAGTTAGGTGTAAGCTGAGTATCTTGGCGGCCGTTCATCCGCATACTTTATGAATCGTCAAGTATGGTGTGTCGGTTCCCACTTCTTAGCGAAAAGACACCCACACCTTCACCCCGGTTTCGAGCACGAAAGCGACCAGACCTGATTTCGATTCATTTACTCACGGGTTATGTCGGCCTCAAGGGCAGCAGTAAACAATAGAGGTCCCGGGGGTGCAGTATGAACTGGTAATGGTGTTCCTGCTGCGGGCAGTGGTGGTATAGGTTTAGGAGGGGGCGAGGGAGGCGGCAGTGGTGGAGAGCTCGACGGGAATTCGCACGACAGAACCCGCGGCGAGTTAGCAGGCACAGGGAAACATTCGAGGGACTCTTCACCCATGCGCAGGAACACATCATCTGCTAGACTTTCTAACAGTAATACTTCCATTTCTACCCTCAAAAAAGAAGAGGAAGCCTAATGTCGTGAGATCAGCCGCGCCGTCAGGAGAAACCTCACCTACACGCTCTAGCACTCCTACGGCTGGTTCGTCCAGATACGCCCAACCGCAATCTCAGCCGGATTTCCATCAACCACGACCAAACCGCCCTTTAGCGAACGCTCCTCCTCACTGGCCCCCATCGACCCAGTTGAGGGCTCCTCCCCCAGACTCTCGATCACCTGCCCTCTCCCCACAGAAGAAGGGCGACCATACTAATTCCAATACTTCACCCGGCGTTCCCCAGTCCGTTTATCATCTACGGGACAGGGAAAGAAACCCAGAGGATCCCGAGGAGTCTGGTTTGGGATCAGGTATGAGGACTCCAAGGAGTAACAACAGCCCGGCGCTGGAGACAGCTGTCGAAAGCAGCTTGCCCGGGACACCAGCAATCAGCACTAGCAAAACCTTGACGGAACAAGTGGCAGCCCTCGTTAACCGACAACAGCATAATACAATCCCCGAAGAGCCAGAAGGGGGAACGCGAGGTTGTTGGGGGGCAAGGAAGCATAGAACCGGCTCGATAGCGTCTTCGATAGCACCACGATCGCAAGCGGAATCCGAATCAGTGTCGGATTACAAGAGCAAGGAGAAAGTAGCTTATTCCAACAACAGCAACAGTAGAGCTCCACCTCCATCGCAACTATTTGCCAGGAGACCTCCTACAGCCACGGGATCAAATAACTTTCCCAGGAATATGAGGGTGGAAACAGAAACAGTGAGCTCAGTTCCGCAGGTCGCTGTAGGGGCTGCTGGAGTGCCTGGGGGGGCAGGCATCAGGAGCGAAAATAGCAATGATACAATACGGGCACCTAAGAAGGACAAGAAGAAACCAACGAAGCGTGTTGGAGGCGGAGGGCCTGCTAACCGTGAGTTGCTAATAAGATCTATCTTGCTTTTGGGCCTGTTTGACTAATTTTATATCCCTACAGCATGGAGCAAAGCGGACCTGTTCGCAAGGAGGGTCGCCGAGGCAGTTGACGAGGCAAATTCATCAGATTCCGAGGAAACCTTTGTCTACGAATCGAACCCCCCTGAGGCACCACAGAAACCCACCAAAAGATTCCATTCACGAACCCCAAGCGCAACATCAATACAAGGGGGACCAGATCGGGGATTGCGGTTACCTCTGCTTGGTTCGATGGATGGAAATCAGAGCGCTGGGAGAAATGGGATGAAGTTCGCCAACACTTCAGGGGCTAGCAATACTAATGCAGCAAGTGATGGGGCAACGGAGAAGCAAGCGGCGATAGAGAGGGAGGAGGAGGGGGATCGGGGCCATCGGCAGCTGTTGGGGGAGCTGGTGGCTCAAGGCCGGAGGGACAGTCAGGCTCCGGACAAAAGGAAAAGGGCGGGAATTCCAGGGGTCAGAATGGGCATCGGGCTCTGCTCCCGAGTCTCCGTTTTCATTGTCACATAAATCGTCGGCGTACTCTCTACTGACTAGTATACGTTCAAATAAGATTTTCACCCCAATTTTGTCTCCAAATCGCAATAAAGCACCATAAGCTAACTCTTTATTACTCGCACTAGGCCCCCCCATGGCTCCGAATTCGAGGCAATCGTAAGTTTCACCTCAGCCGCTTCCCATTTCAACGTACTCGTAAAAGTGTTCAGGCCGTGGTCGCCAGTTAATGCGGTATAATACGTGTTCTCCCCGCCGACATGACCAATTACACCTCATATTATACTTGTATTTCTTGAACTCTTTTATAGGAAGCAGTTGGTTTCGTGGCGTAGTTTTCTGGAATACCGGGTAACTCGCGCTTAACCTATCTTTGAATCAAGCAATCAGAGAGCGAGCAGGGGTGATTGATTGGTGGGGTAGCTTAAAGTTAAGGGTGATCCGGGTGTGATAGATTAACTTTAAAACTTAATAATAATAAAAAAATCCCCACACCCTGGTAAAGCTACATTACAGGAAAGGGGGCCGCTGAAAGCCCTCCCTTAATTTGTTTGACACACATGGTTTAGAAAGAAAGAAAAATAAACAAAATAAAAAAATAGTGAAGGGTAAAAAGAAGTATAAAAAAGGTTATCTGTATGATAGGAAAATCGGCTACAAGCCGATGGTTGTTGTGATAAAAAGTCACTAGAATCAACAGTGAAGGAAGAAGAAAATTAAAAACAAAAAGGAAATTAAGAAAGAATAGGCATTTCTCCGATTGTTTTTTTTTTTTTTAATCCCCAATACCAGACAGAGGAAGAACACTTCAAGCGTTCCATACAAAAAGAATATTTTGTAAAAGACGCTTCAAGCGTAAATTTCCATCTGACTGACCCAATATCCCCCATAGCTATGATACCGGCGGTTTGCGTAATTTTTTTGTATGAGAAAATTGGCATGGACAAGAAAGAAAGAAAGAATAGACAAAGAAGAAAAACTACCGGCCTCTGCGGGCTCCCAGCCTATCACTTCTCCAATTTTCATACCAAACGTCACGGCTCTTCTCTCTGAGATCTGCCCTCCAGTCACCAAATACTGCCTCCTTCAACCTGACGAAATCGCAATGCGCTTCATTGTATGGATCTGCGAATCCCCAAGGGAAATGTCTACCCACTCTCTCGCCGGGCTCATACCCATCCGGAGAGATAACGGATAACGGAAGAAAACTGTTAAGACCCCTAGCCTTTCGGCTAGTTGAGACAGAAGACGCGGTTGATTTATCCGAGGACTGGGGGGCGTCTTCGCCGGAAGATGAATATTCCTCATCGGCTTCGACAAGGGATCCTCGCTGGGCCTTGGTCCCCTGAACTTCCTCTTCTTCCTCCCCTTCGGCAAGCTCCAGCTCAAGTGCCTCCAATGGATCAATCCCAGCACGCTCGAGACCTTGTCGCACAATCTTCTTTAATTCCTCCATGTGACAAGAAGTGCAATTGTCCGCCTTGCTGATAACCGGAACAACGGTGGTTTTTCCGTGAAGTGCTCTGAGGACTGCAATGTCAAGATCGTCGTCCAGTCCAGCTTGGTCAGGCTTGTCTCCCTTCTTGTTATAGTAATGATTTCCAGGAGTAAGCCTTGCAGGATCAAGCAACAAAAACACGCAGTGAACATGGGTATCCTTAGCCCCAGGAGCTCGGACGACCTTGGTCTCCTCGTTGAAGGTGTCTTCGAATTTTGATTCCAAGAAGGCAACAGTCTCGCGAAGTTGCAAATCAACTACCCCCTTTTCAAGTCCTTCACTATCCCACAAAGTCAACCCTATGCGCTCACCATCAATTTCGGTCTCGAGATATGAAGATTTGAATGCATTCCGAGAGGAAGAGGTGGATGTATCTGAATGAGTGGTGGTGTCCTCTTCCGGCGCCTCCGGCAATTCCTCAGCAGGCGCAACATGTCCGCGTTTAGGCTTTAAGGCAAGCGATTGGCGGAGGAAGCGAAGAAACGATGACTTTCCAGAGTTTTTGGCACCAATGACAAGAATACTAGCGCAACTATCAGCATTTCTGCCTCACGTGGTTGCACAATGAGATAAAAGGGAAATGATAAATCGATCATCCACAACACTGCTGGGAATCGATCGATGAAACATACTTGAAAGGGGTAGGATCCCTGCGTCTTCTAACTCTTCTGGGTGAGTTTACACTGTTCGCGGCGCTGCTGGCATAGCTGTATCTTCCTCTATGTGCCATACTACCCTCCTTTGCATAAGGGTCATCTGTGAGCGGTACTGAGCTAGATTTGAGATAACGAGTGCCACCGGAAACACCAACTACACTATCAGTAGACTTTCTTCCAGGGATATAACCACCCGGACCATTTGAGGGGGATCGAGCATCCTCCGAAGAGGGGGGGGATTCAGTAAAGCTCGACATAGCGTGTCCGCTGAATATAGCAACAGAGTCCCTGATATCACTGACAAATCCATTTCTAGAAGGAGCCAGAGGATATTCAGGCAACTTTGGAGGGGAAGGGGCAACAATTGGCGAAGGTGATGTCTTGCGAACCGGATCCCCAGATCTTGAACGGCGGAGGAAACCAAGAGAGGAACGACGGGGTGGGTGGGACTCCTTATCCTTAACCTTGGTATTTTCCGGGACGGGTGGCCGCGACGAGCTCTGTGGTGGGGAAGATGACTTTGGTGTGGGTGGCCGTTTATGCAAGGTTGAGGAAGGAGAAGAAGTACTTGAGGCACCCATCTTGGACGACTCGCTTATAGCCGAAAGATGCGTATCCCAGGCTACCAGCACACAACGTTTGTTAGCTTCACCGGTACCCCGACTTTGTTTGGCCAAAAATAAAAATAAAAAAACGCAATCGCAAACAGTGCAGAAAGGATAAAGGAAAGGTTTTCCAAGAGCTCACATAGTTGAATATCTAAGCTGTAATGAGAAGCAAGTTGAGAAAATCAAACTATCACAATCGGATGTATACTCGCTATCGGGTAGCAGAGCAGAAGCAGATGAGATGAGACCCCGCAAGATGACAAGCACCACTCGAGCGGCTAGCGTTGCAGTAGCCTGAACCTCTTCGTAGGGTACCGTATTTGATGCGCGACGACAACAAGTTCCCGCAGCTAGGTTTGCGGTTTGCTACTCGAAAGGGGAGAGAAGAATCTGCGAAGAAAGCTTGTTGGCGACGATACTGCGGAATACCAAAAGGCGCGTTTTCAGCTGAAAGCCCCTACAACTTGGCGTAATCTTCACACCGTGAAGGGATGAGTCGCAGTGCTACAATAGCGGGCCGGAAGAACGAATGACCCAGAGGAACAAGATATGTCGACCAGCGGCGATTGACGACGGGGGAGAGATGAGGCGAGGATAGAGAGAGGGAGGGTAAGGGAGGGAGGGAGGGGGGGGGGTGAAGAGAAGGTTTTTTTTTTTTTTTTCCTTTTCCCCTTCGTTCTGAGGGAGAGAGGGTAAGGAGGGTTAGTTCGGAGCAATTGGGGAAGAGCGATGGGTTGGTGGAGAAAGGATGGAAAAAGGAAAGAAAATGGGAGGATTATAATAAGGGACCAGGACCAGGAATAGGGGGTACAGTACCCAGAGGAGTGTTTCGTTTGACCTCTCGGCCACGAAATTACGAGTAGGAGATTGGGTCCGAATGCACGAATGCACAGGGTTCCCCCCTCTCTCTATTCTAGCCTCGTTACAGGAAGCCTATTACGAGAAAATGAGAGAATGGTATCATACAGTGCGGGTACAGTCCAGTACAGTACTCGTGCAGGCATGGACAAGTGGAAGAGCACTCATACAATACTTCCAACATCACCATTTACCAGTATTCCTCAGGGAATGTGTATGGTGGGCTCAGTACTCGTACAGTATTCAATTACCGTACTATATCATAAATACAAGTAGTACGGTATCGTGTATTCAAGCATCAAACTATAACTCGTAGAGTACAGTATTTACATCACTCAGTCAAATTAAAGCCCCTAATGGCAACACCCTGCTGTCAAAAGCCAAAAAAAACCTTTCCCGGTTACTGTCAGAGCTGTGTGAGTAGCTGACTACTCGTACAATACAGTACCAGTACTGTATTGCATCGCAGGCCGTTGCAGTTATCGAACATCACCTCTGCAGTACAGTAGCCATGTGTCCACATGTCTCTGTGCTCGCTAACGTTAGTAAGACCAGTGCACCACTGACTAAATCAGCACACAGACAAAGCAGCTTCCTCTTCCTACGAGTATACTCTCAACCTGCTATTTTCGCTCGAACCCTCCCCGCCCCACCGTCAATAACTGTAAATCTACTGCCGGTATTAGCTTAGCGTTCACCACCCAAGACCATGACAGACTCAAATGAAGTTTAGTTTGGGCCACAACAAGTAAGCTACTCCCTACAGCATGACCAAAAATGGACAAGACTGATTCTTTCGGGGCTCGATAGTGCAGCCCAGCCTGGATAGGCGACCGAATGAAGATAATCAACAACGCGTCTGCTCTTGGAAAAGATATATGCTATATGAGCCGCGGCAAAATAGCGACGATGGCACCATGATATTTTCCCGGTAGTTATTCCAGAGGCGCAAGGCTGGCTACAAGCAGTCGGTCAAATTGCGGTTCTCCGAACGCATCCAGCTATGGTCAGAAAGCCACCGGTACGACGTCACGCTGTCACCAACCACCAATCCACCAGCTGTGTTGTCTTTGGGAATTCAAGTGCCGATAGTCTACCCCGAGCGCCTCCCTCTCATGGCTGAACTCATCCCGCGTAGAATGATAATCTTGCGATATGATAGTCTAACGACGCACGGCTGGGTGGTCTTCTCGCTTGATACACTACCGGTATCATAATTCCATAAACGAGTGATACTCCGTGCGTGCAATGGCCAGCCCCCGTCCTTGTACAGTACGAGTACTGTACCATGCCGGAACTTCCTCCTGGCATCATACGCTCCGGGTGTTACCATGTCACCGAATCATATTCTGTCACTCTAGATTCCCATACTTTCCTAGGAGGGTGGACGACGGGATCGAGAGCTCATGATCGACTATCATATTTAAAGAGTATTCCAGCACATCCACATCGCTAATTGACAATGGGGGTTGATTTCCACCTAGGACCTCGAGGCAAGTTGTGCCCGGAGCAGCGAGATCTAGGGCGATATTGTACCGGTAAGCCGTTCGGCTGAACATAGACTAATTAGTACTGTGATTTAGACAGCTGCGGAACATGAGAGTTTTGGAGGGCTTGGGCACCCTCCTGTAAGGGCAGGGTTTAAATTTTAGCCGTAAATCTTGACCTCCAACCTCGGAAATCAATAAACTATCGCCTACCGGTACTCGGGTATTGGTATGATATTGGTATCATACTGGAATCATTGTGAGTGATGACCGTGGTACAGTATGATACACTATCTTCCAATTCATTTCCTTGTTCCACACCCCACAATCGCACTCCTGGTGTTCCCTATTATGGAATGTCTAACTATCACCGAATCATCTACTCGTACATATCACTCGGTTAGGAACCTGGCTCTTGTCCTCATACGCTGCCATGGGGTGCCGGTGCGGTATCGGTACGGCACCCGTACCGTATTGGTGTTTTGGGCCAATCCTTGACGCTGTGTGGTGATACATGTAACTTATATCGATTGCGGTAATCGATCCCTCGGCGCCCATGGGTATTCGTGTTTGGGAAAAATAAAGTGTGACCTGTTCCGGGCGCGGCAGAGGTGCTATCGATATCGATACCGGTATCGGCATCGGACACACGGTTTCGATAAATTGGGCATAGGCGACTGGATTGACGGCACTCAAATCGATGCATCGCACATCCATGACACTGTGAACCGGCGGTCATATCATATATGCAAATCACCGGCGTCAACTCTTCGCCAAAAAGACCGGCATAGCCGCCACCCGGGGCCCCATAACAAAAGCACAAGTAAATTCGTCTTGTCTTGGCGTTCTGAGGAGATCCTAGCATTCCCTGCCTTCACCACCAGTTCCAGCTCATTTTTCCCCCAACAACAAATAACCGCACCATTCATTGCATTGCAGCCTTCATAAATGCTGAGTTTCCCAGTGGGCTGTTTTTTTTGACCCATTTTTTTCTCCTATTCCTACCCATCCACCAAACATGCCGAAGCCGGAAAAACCAGAGAAAGGAACACCCGAATATGCTGCCTATAAGAAGGCTAAGAAAGAGCGGAAAGAACGTCGCGAACATGGCCGTTCAAAAAGCTTAACCGTCAAGACTGACCAAAACACGCTGTCCGCTCAATCTCATTCACGAGCTGGCTCTGAATTCTCGTACATTAGTAGTGTCGGATCTGGGGCTGAGGAGGAACCAGGAAAGTATAAGAAGGCGGCAGAGGAAGCAGCGAGAGAGATAGCTAGGGAGAGGGGGTTATCAAGTGGGTATAGTGTCATCGGAGGAGCCAGTGCAAGTGGGAGCGTTAGTGCAGGTTACCAGGGGAGTTATGGAGGTTCGGAATCTTATAGCCCTGTTTCGCCTGTTTCGCCCGTGAGTCCTTCACCTGGGGGAGCGCGGCAAAATCGCTGTAAGTGGTATGTTTCTCTATAATTATGATTTGAGCTAAATCGTTGGAGCAGCTTATTCTTCCTCGGCAGTTTCGGTGCCAGCACCCCCACCAGGACAGTACCCGCCGTATCAGCAGAACCCGTATCCCGGGCAGTACCCACCTCCAGATCCCTATCCACAGCCGCCGGGAGCCGGCCTCGCACCCGCTGGCCAGTACAGTGCCCCGGGAGCATATCCAGGATACGGCTATCCACCTGGTTACGCTGGTCCTCCTCCACTACCCCCGCCTTCCCCGGGAATCTACCCCCAAGTGTCGCCAAATGCACCACCGCCCCACGATCCACAGTTTGTTCCGCCGCCGCCCGGATTTGGCGCAGGTGGAGGGGTATACCCGCCTGGAGAGACACCGACACAATACAACAATCCGGATTATTATGCTGAAACGCAGAATCCGCCCCAAGGGACACAAAATACGCCGTCTTATTTTCCCGGACAGGCTGGCAGCTCTGCTAGCCCTTACCCAGCGCCTCACCAGCTTCCAGCACCTCCTCCCCCATCTCAATACCCACCGGTTAATAGCAGTAGCACAGCCGGCGCGTCCTCGAGTAGTCATGGTGCGGTGTCGGTTCCTCCACCACCTCCTCCAAAACATGGCTTTCTGGATTCCTTAAAGATACCCTCATTCTCGAGCCTCTCGATCAAGAACGATAAGCCTAACCAATTACCACCGCCTTCCCCGGCCCTTCAACCGTACCATGGAACTTACCAATCCATTTCCCCACTCCCCTCACCAACGCTTTCGCCATCACCACTCTTTTCTGCCTCCGGGTCAATTTCCATAGCAGGCCACTCGCTGAATAGTGCATTCTCACTTGGTCCCTCCGCATTCTCTCCAAGCCCCGGCGGCCAATCGCTCCATCAGACCCTAACAGCCCAACACTCCAGCGAAAAGCCCATAGCAACACCAGTATACCCTGCTGGTCCTCCGCGTCCCGCAACACCTCCATACAATCCAACAGAAGATGCAAAAGCCCTCCTATCGGCCCTGAGGCACACATTCCGTCCACCTACGGGCCCACTGATAGATATTTTACCAACCCTTTCCCCATCCCAAATATTGCAACTTCGTCAGGAGTACAAATCAATCTTTAGGAAGGTCAATATAGCCAAGCACATCAAAACCGTCTTTCCATCAAACACATATGGTGGCTTTGGGAAGGTTGCTTTCGCAGTAGCCTTGGGGCCGTATGAATCAGAGAGCTGGTTTGCAAACTGCTGGTATCAGCGAAAAGAGACTCGTAACGAACTCTTGATTGAAGCTTTAATGGGAAAATCCGGCGATGAGATTCGGAAGATAAAGGCTGGTTTCAAGGACGCCAAGTACCTGAACAGTCTCGAGAAAGTTGTGCGCAATGAGCTTGAAGGGAACAAATTCCGGTTGGCAGTGCTGATCCAGCTTGAGGGAGTGAGGATGGAAGAGAGTGCTGAAGTTCGGATTGATAGTGTTAGGGAAGACGTCAAAAAGCTGGGGGAGATCATGGAAAGGAAGGATGCGAGGGGCGGCGAAACAATAATGATTGAGATTCTGGTTAACAGGAGTGACTGGTGGATCAGGGAGATGGCGGGGCAATACAAAGCCACCTACCAAAGGGATTTGGCGAAGGCTGTTATGAGACATTCTAGAAATCTTGTGGTACGTACACCGCATTCCCATATCCCCTCTTCATATCTGCTAACGGGTGGATAGGGAGAAACATTACTCCATATTATAAATGGTGCAGTTGATAAACCTCTCCGCGACGCGAAATTGCTCGAACAAGCCATCATGGCATTGGTGGAGCAGGGCCGTGAAGATTTGCTTATTAGCAGGATGGTCAGAGTGCACTGGGACCCTTACCATATGGACCGCGTCAAGAAGGTTTATAAGAAGAAATTTAAGGTGGATCTATCGGGAAGGCTTAAGGGAGTTGTTGACGGCGATTTCGAAAAATTCTTGCTAAGGATGATTAGGGATTAAAAATTTCTTCTTCTCCTTAGTGATGAAGTTATGGTGTAGTGATAATCTATCTCTGTGGTAGCGACCAGGTTGTTGAATGATCCAGACTCTCTGAATCCAGATATTTGATAATAATATGCAATGTACTGATTTATCTCATGACCCTCCAAATCCCCAAAACTTCCCAGCCACCCTTCCTCCCAGAGGTGCCCACCTTCTCTACGATCCATTTGACGCCATACTCGCCGTTGCGCAATTGCTCCGCAACCGCCTCAGGTTTGTTTCTCTCGCAGAGCAATATGTACGCTACTCCGGATTCGCTCAGGCACTCCTTCAACCCCTTCAATACCCGAATTGTAACCTCCATCCCATCAACCCCCCCACCACACGCAACGCCAATCCACCCCTCTTCTCCGTTCCCATCTTCCACCACCTCCGTGGGCACGTAGGGCGGGTTAAACACTAGCATATCTACCACTCCCGGTCTTAGACCTGTCGCTAAATCCGTCCTAATAGCCCCGAGAAAGCATCCGCTTTCTTCGGTTATATTGGCGGAAACAGTTTGCTTTGTAGCGTCTGGAGCATGCGGAGAGATGTCAGTGGATAAAGTTGTGATTGAGGTGTGACCGAAGAGTGTGGCTGAGTGTGTGGTGAGGAAGGACGTTATTACGCCGGAACCGCTACCGAGCTCAAGGGCTAGCGGGAGCGAAGTTTGTGGGAATCGGGAGCGCAGAAAGGGAGATTGGAGAGCTAAAGTATCGAGAAGGAGGAATGTATCCTCGCTTGGCTCATAGATGTGGTCGAAGGAGAGGTGAGAAGTTGTTGGCGTCGGAAGCATTTCGCGAGGGGAGTGGCGGGGTGCATAATATGTATTCGCGGGATGGTTATGATACTGTAGACTACCCTTGTTGAGCTGGTAGACAGCTGGAGTGGGGCCGGGTAAGCTGTTCCATTGTCATCGGTGGTCACTCGAGCGAACCTTTTCACTGTTTGAGAAGTTGGATTCGGATTTTCTGGTCTATAACCCTCTAAGGGGATTAGCAACGGTAGTTCGTCATGGGCAAGGTAAGTAGCCAGGGCTCAAAAGATTTGCTACTGCTTTGTTGCCTGCCAGAGCAAGAGATGGCAAATCTTTGATCCAGAATCGTTTACTTCCAGGAATGTCGCTTCCTCCCCTCTTCAACGCAGCACCTGGTTGGCCGTGCTTGGAGCTTGGGCTCAATTCAGGAGACTATATATCAGTCTAAGAATTGTCGCCTCGGTCGAGTCGATTGGTGCTCTCGCATTACGAGAATCAGAAAAGCCAAATGATTGGGGAGACTTGGCTATTTCACGCACAGTATGAGTTTCACTTTTCCGAATGGGGATACAATGATGTTTAGCAACGGTGGCCGGGGCGTTTATTTGAGGAGTCCAGGATGCGGGTCTCTGCATGATATCTATGATGTGAAATCGTGAAGTGCGTAAAACCCACCCTACTGAACGCTGCAATACACAAGTACTGTACACCCAAGGTCCCGAACAAGGTGAGTTTTAGTGTTCCCCCCCCCCCCTCCACTCCCCAGGCCCTGAGACTGACTGGCTACTGTATTCTAGCATGGTAAAGCCGGTGGTTCGAAATCATGAGTTTATGATATGGAGTATCATACGATATTTTTTTTCATTTTCATTTTCGTTGCATAAAAGTCTCAGAGGTGAATGAAAGCTTGGCAAATTTCAGTGGCTGTTTTATTTCCACCACCGTGAAGACCCCCCCATAAATAATCACTTGTCAGTTTTATGATATCAGCGGAAATCGGGACCCCACGATAAGGCTTAGGGATGTTTGGCCCGCCACTTATCATAATAATATGATTTCAAATCGCGATTAGAGATCAGGTCTTGGTAATTTTAACTTAGGTTATTACCCCCTGGGTTTCATAACGGTAGGTTAAGAGAATTGCGAGTACGGGTTAATGAGATCCGACACGCTTCCAACGGGCTGATCTTGTGCTACATACTGATTGTGCAGTTACTTGTAATGCTGCTGTACTCGAGTATACCAGAGGTACAGTACTGTACCATACTGCACTCGTACTACAGCGACAAGTTGGGCAGGAGCTGTTTGTTTTTTTTCTAGTGGATGCAGCCGGAATAAATACATTTTGATTAACCAATCCCTCTCCGGAGCTCCTGTCTCAGAATCCGAAGATTACAGAGCTGGCGGAGATAGCGGGTTATAAGGGTTTTATGGGCTGGATTCCTTTTAAGAAGAATATTTGAGCTAAATACAACACCCGCCAAAAGCATCCAACTCCGGACGTATGGTACCAAACTTGAGCGTCTAGGTAAAATATTGAGACTCTATGCCTTCAGAAAGAGCTTTTTTTTTTTTAGGGGTGGGGGTGGGGGTGGCACTCAAGAAGTCCATTACCGGCGATTCTCAAAAGGATCCAACGGCCCCCTCCCCCCCAAACCTAAGAAGCGGTATCCGGCGAGGCACCTAAACCTTCTGAGTTCCGATCGTGTATGTGTAAGTTGGTGTTTAGCGATTTGCCATCGCTATGCGCTAATATCGCTAGGTGTTCCTTTCTGTATAGTAGCTTCGGTAAGGATTCGTCTGCGCATCGTGTGTCTGTGACGCGCACACGAGAGTGATTGCCGGTGAGCTGCCGCACTTGTGGCGTACTGTAGGCGGCGTGTCGAAAACCCCACCCCGACGACCTCGCAGCCAGAATCGGAGCATTGTGATCGGGCCTGACGGTGAATGCGCTATGCGCTATCTCCACCACCATCCCGAAGTTGAAGACCCTAAGTTACCTTATAGAAGGGGATATCATGCGGTTCCTTGCGAATGGCTATCTACTACGAAAGAAATCGAGAGCAAGGGGAAGCTGCAAGCTTTTGGTTGAGATAGCGAAAAGAAGGGAAGGGAGAGGGTTCAGTTGTGATAGCTCTTATGGCTCATTCAGTCATGGCTCGCTTTTTTTTTTTTTGAACACGTTGTTTACAGAAAAGTCTATATGACTTTGCTAACATGTGGACCCACCCATCGGATTGAGAAAAAATCGAGCCTTCTTCCCGCTTCCCACTTGCGCATTTGTCAATGCCCGAAAACAGGACATATGATCACTCACCGCCACGAAATACCACCAACCCCGGGAATATATATGTAGAGCTGAGAGCATGGTACGAGCCCAAGCAAACGCCCACCCGACGGTGCTGGTGGGGGAAGAAAAAGCGTGATGGCGACGGGCGGTTTCTGAACGGGTTAGAGCGATTTTCATGTTTTGGGTTTCGTGTATCGTACGGATGGTGGTGCTGAGGGTGAGGCATAATCTGGCGGGAGTGGGGGGTTGTTGTCTGGGGTCTGGAGGCGCAGGTGGGGGTGGGGGAAGTTTGAGGAGGCGGGGAGGGGACCTCGTGGGGGTTCATGATTTATCGCTTTTGCTGTATGTTCTGGGGAGTTTTTATCCAGAGATGTATTAGATACATATAGTATCACTCGTCCGTCGTTACGCTTACATGTTGGAGCACTTTCCATATTGAGTAAGTCATGTAGTAAGAGGGCAGTAACAGTGACGAAGTACGATGTAATGGAGTACGTATATCGGAAGTCATGTCAATAGCGTATTTCCTTTCTATAAGTAGCGGGGACTTCCCCATAGCAGTAGAATGAGCAACGAATACTTCAACATTACATACACCAATAAGCCAGGGGGTTAGACTATCATACAACTTTCTTATCACAGTAATGTTATCAGGTTTTCAACGCTCTACTTTGCAAGAAAATCCGCAGGGATAATGCTTCAATAACGTCTACACTATCCACTCCGCCCCAATTGCGGAAAACCACAACTCTGCCGCCCACACGTAGCAAAGGATCGATCCACCACAAATATACAAACACCACAACCTCCTCCGCGCTGTAATCCACCTTCCCCTCTCCTCCACACGGCCAAACCAACCCCCACCACAACACAAAGGTATTAAGATCTATCGTAAGCCATAATACATGATACAATCTGTAGTTAAAAGGGAAGTGCAAACGGACACAGATGCGAACAAAGCAGAAAATGATAGTACAACGCTATGAATGAATAAAAAAAACAAGAAAAAAAATACCAATCCCAATGAAAATGCAAAACACAGGAGAAGGAAGGAAAGAAAGCCAACCCGCTTTTCTTTATATTGCTAGTAGCAGATGCCAGCCAACCTGGTCCCCCAGCTACTCCAAGTCAGTTCTTGCCCGGATAAACCGGATGAACGCTAGCATGCACGCTCCGCCTGTATTCTCCCTGCGAATTCTCCACGGCGACGGAGCCACCGACCTGCAGCCAGCGCGCATTCGGATCAGCCTTCTCGTCGGGTTCGTAGTACCCATCCGCAGGCGACATACTCTCTCCGCCCGCGGGGCTGCCGCCCCCAGTGCTGCTATTGCTGCTCCCACCAAAGGCCGGAAATACGGGAGACGTGATGAATCCACCGCTACCGTTGTTATTATTCGCACCACGCGAGGGAGCGGACCGCTGTTGTGTGACCGGCGTGAGAGGGAGACCGCCGCCAGCTTCGCCGCGGTGCTTGTCGGAGGTGTAGAATAGGGCTATTGTTCGGACGAGGGCGATTATGAGCACGAGGATCCAGATGCCGACTATGCAGGCCGATATAATGGCTTCCTCGGTGAGCATCTTTTCCCACTTGTTTGTAAGCTTGATAACCACGTCCGTGATCATGTCGGAGGCTTGGGAGGAGGTGTCGGAGAGGAAGCTAGCCGCTCCTGATGCCTCCGGGGCGATGGAATCAGCGGCACCCAGGGAGAAAGTATCGTTCGGGAGGAGCGGGAGGTTGATGTGGGCGTTTTCGTTGGCCCATGTTAACCCCTTCTGTATTCCCTTGACTTTGATGCCGATAAGGCAGTTGAGGACGTCCTTGATTGGCTTGGCTAAGGGTGTCTTGCCAAAGAACTTGTCGACGCCCTCGTACATCTTGTCAACGAATACGGTCAAGGTGTCGTTCAGGGAATCGGTTCCGTTAACGACCCAACCGAAGAGTTCCTTGTTGATATCCGAATTTGTGCTGTTAATGGCCGAGTTCGTCTTTACCGCCCAGCTCATCGAAGCTGCCGTAAGCTCCTTAACGACGAGATCCGCAAACTCCCCAACCTCAGCAGCTAGGGCGGGTGCCGCGCTCTCAACCTGTTTCAGCAGGATGTACTGAGCCAACACGCCGAACAGTCCTGCGATTCCAAGGGACAAGACAAAGAGCGCGGGAGTCGACGTCGCGTAGGCTACCGCCCAGCGGACCAGGGTTTGGCGTCGTGACGACTTGAATAGACCGGCCAATTTGAGGCCGACCGAGGAGGAGTATGGCCGCGACGCAATCTGGATCACATCGACGGGATCGTATGTCGGGGCGGTATGAAGCATAAAAGCTCGGGACTGAGTGGTCCGCCAGTTCCACCATTCGCGGTAAGCCATAGGGATCAGCGCAAGGATGGCCAGGCAGATAATGACCCCGATAAGGATCTTCTTGACCTTGTCGACGGTGCCCTCCAGGCCATCGAAAAAGTTATTGATTTTGGGATTGTCGGAGCAAAAGGTGAGCCTCTCCTTCTCGGGGACGGGGAATACAGAACGATCGAATTCGTACACGCCGATGGATTCATTGACTTTTTTCTACTCATTATCAGTCACCAAGAAGCAGCAGGATATTGCAGAAGGGGGGTGGGATAGAGCGTACGGAGATAAGTTGAAAGGGAATCCTGATAGCATCGTGGGCAGCCTTCTGTACTTCATCAAATGTAGGGATGCTGTCTTTCAGTTTCGCCAAATCGTCGTCGAAGCTCGTCGGGATCTGAACCTTCTTCAACTGATCAAGACTGGGAAGTTTAACCTCGGGGAAACTGATATCGCTCCCGAAGAAATTGGGAACCTTTTCCAGAGCCTTGGAGACTTTGTTGACCCCGTCCTGGACAGATTTGACATCCCTCCCAACGTCATCAAAGATCTTTCCCATGGTGTTGTTGACAAAATCGGCAATCTTCTCGGTAGCCTCGAGAACGGCGCCGAGAGAACCTTGGATGGCCAAGGTGATCAAACAGACGTAGGTAGAGGTGATCATGTTCACGACGAAGACAACAATCTCCTGGACACCTGTGATAAGGAGTAGAAGTGTCTTCTCGAGAGCCTTGACGGCAGTTTCGATGCCCATCGCTGCAACCTCGTTCACTCCCTTGGACATGTAATGCGGCATAGAGGCCATGGCAGAGCCCATGCTCTCGACACCGGTACAGGCCGAGAGCGCCTCCCTCCGTGCAGATCTCAAGTCCCCGTCAAGCGATTGTGTGGCGAGGATGACCCTGACCAGCACAAGGAAAAGAAGTAGCGTCCACCGGTTGAACCAGACCTGCGAAAGCCGAGCACGCAATCCGAGGTAAGGTGTTAATTCGTGAGTTGTAGGCGGGGCTCGCCTACTGGCATTCATGGCATCCTCATAGCTTGGGGCGTCGGTTGTAAACATATGCGAGTTGTTGTTATTGTCCATGTTTGACAGGGGATAAACGAATGATGGTCGTCGTCGTCGTTGTCGTTGTCGTCGTAGGTTTTCGTAATAGTTATATATATATATATCTGAATTAGGCGGAACCAGCCAGCGGACGATGGAAAGGAAATAATGCAATTATTATAAGGCCGGAAACCGATCGAAGTTGTTTCAAGAAGGGAGTGAAGAAGGGAAGGGAAAGGAAAGAGAAACAGTGAAGATGGAAAAACGAATGGGGAAATAAGAAACAGAAGGGAATGAAGGGACGAAGAAAAAGGAAAGGAACCCGTGTGTAAATTGAAAATACGGGCCCCTATAAGAAAGGAAGTAGAATGATAGTGGTCATATACCAGTATCGAGAGGAGGAAATATAATACTATGGGGGAGGTGGGGAGGGTACGTAGTATATATCCTGGGAGATAATAAGCTCCGAGCAGCAGCCTCACCCCCCCCCCCAAGATAGCTCGACCTCGAATCAGGCGCACCGCAGATGAATGGCTCTCCCCGCCAACATGAACCGATTCAGACCCGAACCGTTTCCCCCATTCAGCTCGTCACCGGCATAGTATACGGTTGGGAGGACCGACAGCTAGGATCAGGGGTTCCCTTCAAACGTCCTCCAACCCATTAAAATGTATGGGCGGTAGAAAAGTCTTCATATTTAACTCCATTGAGGTTGAGGTGGAGCGAATGGGAGATCAGGATCTGGTATCGGTAGAAGTGAAGCGTCTATGGGTGATCCTCCGTCATTGTGCTTAGCCGAGGATCCCATTGGTGGATTCACCATTAAAAAGCAAGCCCACCAACCGAATTGAGTTTAGCCCACCAGCGAGCCCGCCATCCTACCCTTAAGCGGATTAACGTCATTTTGACTCGCGACTACCACCATTGAATCCGAATACGGCAGTCCTCCAAGGAAAGAAAGGGCACAAAAATATCTCAAACAGTCAATTATCCGCTCCTTCTCTTTCTTTGTTAATTTCCCGAAACGGGTCGCTTGGCTCCTTCTTTCCTTTCCCCCTCAAAAATAGCAGGGCAGAGCCAATGACTTGAAACCTCTCCCAGCCTTCTGCCTCCCCTTTGTTTTCCCCTCCGATCCCTCTTCCCCTCGCCTGGACCCTAGCCTTTTGGGTCACTCTAGTACCCTACGTTACACTAGCCGCCGGAGAAACCTTTCCCAACCGACTCTTCCTGACCCACCCATACTCTACTCCTACTGTACAAGTACCATCACTGCCATGATACAGCACGGTAATTATCCTCACCCCCAACTAGACCTGTCGGTGCAAGAAAACCCTCCCCCCCATCGTGATCAGGTTTCAGGAGAATAAAATAAAAATAAAAATGTAAAAAAGACCAAAGGCACCGAGCGTCAAGAGAAATTAAAAGCGCCAATTTTATCCGCAACCCCTGATCTACCACTAGTTTGTGTACTCGAGTATAAGATGATGAGGGAATCTTACCCTTTCGTTGCCGTGACGATGAGGAATCATCAGACCAGAAGGCCAATTTGGGCGCTGATGATAGGCATCATACAGTGTCGGTACTTGTTGTTTGGTGAGAGTTCCCTGCTGGTGGTATGTACTCGTACAGTACGAGCACTATACGAGTACCAGTACTTGGTGCTATATAACCCCGCGAGCTCGATCGAGGTGCCGGTATCATCTTGTCCGGACGGGCAGCTGGAGGAGGCTATGCCTTCCGTCCGACACGCCCATCCGCCTGTGAATCCTTCCGCGTACACGGATTGATGCCTTTAGTATGATATTCTGTTGTAAGCCCCCAGGCCCCCATGGTTTCGAAAGGTGCTGCCCGGGGATTCTATGGCGGTTTGCTTGCGTGGCTGTTCAGTCAAGCCACGGAAGTAGTAAAACGAACTCCCCATCATAGCATGATAGGCTAGCACGATACGGTAATGTTTGGCTCCCCGGTGTTATGGTGTTTCGTTTCGTGTGTCCCGTCCTCGAATATTGTTTCCACTTTAGTACTGCGCGGTGGTGGTTCATTGTTGTTTCATCCGGGGACGAGGGGTCATAGAATGTCACTCTTTCATACTAGGGCTCTGAAAACCCCACCGAAACAACGGGTGTTCTGCGGTATTATGGGAGCGCTACTATGATACTTGGCAAAAGGGTTTGAGATGTATCATAGTCTAAGCAAAGATGTGCCTGTTTACGGATCGAGGGCTCGCTAAGTGATGAATGTGTTGGGCCCAGTGTAGTGGCTGTGTCGTATACTATTATGATATCAAAGGACGATGGCAGACGAGAAATCCACTTTCTACGGCACGGTGTGGGTAGAATACTTGACCCCGGGAACAGACCAGTGTGGGGGGTTAGGCGAGGGGGAGAGAAATACGGTGCTAGTCTTCTGGTGGGGGGGAGGTGTTTGAGCGGGAAGACTGGGAAGGTATGCTGCCTGCTGGTGGTGCAAATGGATGGCGAAGATTAAACGGTAGCATGCGGCGATGTAGCGCCTACGAGCTACTGCCTGCATATTAGTCTACTGCTCGAAGAGGATCAATGCCATATAATTCACTTCCTACTTTTTAGAAGGCAGTTCCAACTGCTGCGGCTCAACTCACGAGTTCTTTCATGCTGCAACGACACCGCTTCATAGTGTTGGTGAAGTTTTTTTTTTTTGCGGCTCAAAAAGTTGTGCTCGAGTCCGTAGACTACTTCGTACCGGGGATTGCCATAGCAACACCTGCGATAAGTTACAATACACTAAACGCCAAGTCTTCGCCCGGTATCCAAAACAGATTTTGACAAGTTTTTTTTCTTTTCATTCCTTCCTCCAAGGTTTTCCACCTGCCGCCGTATTTTCACCTCTTCAGCATCCATCCTAAGAGATCAGCATAAGAAACGAGAACAAAGGAACATCATTTCCCTTTGACCTGTGACCGTCAAGAAGGGTCAACTTGAAGTGCTGACCGGACTATATGATAAGTTAGGTGCCTCGTTGGGTACAGTACGAGTACACAGGTCTGCATCACCCAAACCAGCCAACCAAATTAATCACCCAACCCTACCCCATCATACCATATCATATCATATCATACTATTCTCACGCTGCCACTCACTTCTCGTTTTGTTGTTTGCGCTTAGACTTACATAAAGGTGCTATCTGGTTTTGGTTACGGTGTGACGCTCCCTTGCTCATCCTTTTGTTCACATTTTCTGGCTCCGGTGTGTATGTTCATACGACATACCTGTACTGGATTCCAGCGGGAGAGGGACTGATACAACATAACCTTTAGTACCGGTACTCCTGCCCGCTGGCCGTGCTCGTAAATACATCCTGTGCTGGAGTGAACTTCGACGCACTCACAGCCCATCGAATTCAAAGAGCTGCAACAACGCCAACCCATCCCCACCCCCGTTTCACACTAGGAGAGGGAAAGGGAAAGGGAGAGGAAAAGGGAAAAAAAAAAAATTTACCCTCCCGCCGACGCTTTTTGTGTTATTCCCACTTCGCGTCGCAGGTTTCAATAGGCCTCTAATACCATCCTACCCTACTATTTCTTACCTTTATTCTTATTCTATCATAATTATTTCTTTTTTCTTTTCTCTTTCCTTTCTTCAAAGAAGGTTAAAAGAAAAACATCTCTTTTACCTGCACTCACCTCTCTCCCTCTTACTGCCCACGTTTTACCCGCAACCATGGCGGATCAGAATGTCGCCGCTCTCCTCGCTGCCCTGAGTACGTTTTGGAATTAATTCCATTTCCTTTGTTGTTATCCTTCCTGATTTCCCCTCCTTCCCGACTCTCTCTGCCCTGCTCTAGAGTCTCCTCGTGCTAATCGGGGGTCTCGTTCCCGTCTTACAGCAAGCGCACAGCGACCCCCCGGATCTCAAGGAGGACCGCCATTGCCGCAAGGTGGCCCTGCGGGATACGCTGGAATTCCGGCAGGTCTGACCGGTCAGCCGCCTTCACAATCTGTGGCCTCTCCTCCGGTTGGCTACTCTTTACCGCAGCCATCTGCCTCCGGTTCTCTTGACCTTAGCAATATCAAACCTACAACGTCCGGAAAGGTATCTCTGGATGACGCACTCGCGCGAGCAAAAGCTAGAGCTGCGGAGATGGGAATCCAACCTACTTACAGGGAGCAAGCACGTAAGTTTTTTTTATTTTTTTATTTTTTTATTTTTCCAACTTTTTATTTTTCTCATTTACTCTTCCACCTCTCTTCCGCTATCAGCCCCTCCATGTGACAGGGAGTTGCTTATACCACTTTATATTTAGCCACACGCTATGAGGACCCACGGTCAAGATACGGTGCTCGTCGTTCCCGATCCCGTACTCGCTCCCCGCCCTCTCGTCGTGGCGGTGAACCCTTCAGAGATGCCTACAACCCCTTCCGCGACGAGCGTCGTGCGCGCGCTAGCGCCGAGTACGGTATGCGCGAGCGAGAACGTTCTTATAGTCCACCGCGGCGGGGCGGTCCGCCTGGGGCAGGCACGGGAAATCCTTACTCCCCACCTCCGGCACGAGCCGAGAGGTACGGCGGCGGTCATAGAGCGCGCTCACCTCCTCCGGATGCCGAACAGATGAACATTGAATCATCACTTGTTGGACTGATCATCGGCCGCGGTGGGGAGACTCTGAGGCGTGTGGAGCAGGAGACCGGAGCTCGAGTTCAATTCCTTACAAACGGCCAGGATCGGGATAGCGGTGGTGAACGGGTCTGCAATATCCAGGGCACACGCCCGCAAATTTCGGCCGCAAGAAGGGCCATAGAGCAGATCATTGCGGAGAATGGTCCACCCGGAGGTGGCATGGCAGGCCCTTCCGGAAGTACCAGTGGTCGGGGGAAATTCGGTGGAAGCGGAGGTCAGCCCAACTTGCGAGACGGAGGTTTGTCTGCGGTTCCTCTTGGCGACAGTGGTAGCAAGAAATATCTTTCTCTCCTTTGCTGTTTTGTCTTTTTCCCTCTCCTCTTCTTCTCCTGTCTCCCGTTCTTTTTTCTTGATCTTGATAAAACTATCCTACTCGCCAAGAGGATCTTTTTTGATAATCGCGGAATCAGCTCTGTTGTCTTTTTTTTTTGAATAGAAAAAAAAAACTTTTTGGTTTGAACTGTCATACTGACTGAATTTCCCCCGGGGAGTCAGAAGATAGCATACAGATACTTGTGCCCGATAGAACTGTTGGCTTGATAATTGGTCGTGGTGGCGAAACTATCCGCGACATTCAAGACAAGTCTGGCTGTCACGTTAACATTGTTGGCGAGGCAAAGAGTCAGAATGGCCAGCGTCCTGTTAATCTGATTGGGTCGCCCCAAGCGGCAGAAGATGCAAAACGGTTGATCATGGAAATTGTTGAGAGCGATAACGCAGGTACCGGACCACCGCCAGGAATGTCAAGGCCTGAGCGGGGGGCACCTGGTGGCGGGAGTGGGGGTGGAGGCGGTGGGTATTATGGTGGACATGGTGATAATGGCGGAGGTGGTGGAGGAGGGCGCGGTGGGGGTGGTGGATCAGAAGGGAGATTAACTGAAACTATTAGGGTCCCTATAGATGCTGTTGGCATGATTATTGGGAAAGGTTCTTTCCCCCATCATCCTATTGCATTTAAGCTACTAACAAAAACTAGGCGGAGAAACGATCAAAGATATGCAATCCTCGACTGGCTGCCGTATCAACGTCTCCAGTCAATTCCAACAAGGTGACCCTGAACGTGAAATTGCCTTAGCAGGGACCCGCGAAGCAATAGCCCGTGCACGCATTGCCATTGAGGAAAAGGTCGAAGCATCTGTACCTCCCCTCCTCCTCACCATCCCCTCCCCTCCCCCACACACTAACAACCCCACAGACACGCAGTGCCCCCCCAACCCGTCCCGCACACTTCTCCACCGACCAACAACAGCAATCTCAGCAACCAACCTGGCCAACCTACGCCCTCCCACAGCCCTCCTCTAACTCTCCCCCCGCCCCATCAACCTCAAACACTACTGCCACCGCCGCCACCGGCACAGGAGGAGCACCGCCAGGCATCCCGGGCGCAGCCCAGGACGATCCGTATGCCCCATATGGCGGATATCAGGCCTACTGCGCAATGTATTACGCCGTGGTTATGCAGCAACAACAGCAGCAGCAGCAGCAATCGCAGGGTGGTGCTGCCCCAGGCACTTAGCCACAACAAGACATCGACCAAAAAAAAAAGGGAAAATTTTTAGTGCTAGACTACGTGATTTCTGGGTGATCTTTTGTCGTGATGGTGATTGATTGATTGACTGATTGATTTGTGTGGATTTTTCCCTTTTTTCCTTTTTTCCTTTTTTCCTGTTTCCCTTTTTCCTTCTCTCTTACCTTTTCTTGTGTCTTTCTTTTCTCGTTCCGAGGCCTGGGTTGGAGGGGGATCCCGTGAGCGAGCGAGTGAGCTGACGTGACGTGACGTGCCTCTTCGTGCGTGAATTGTGACTACTTGACTACTTCACACTACTACGGTATTTATGATACGATGCGCTGTGATTCCTATTTCTCGTGAGCCCCTGTGGATTTTCCCCACCGTTGGGGGGGGGAGGAAGGGAGGTCGCCGTCACCGTATACATGGATGGTATCAAACAGGAAGGCCGTGCTGATGGGGGTTTTTTTTTCTGTTCCATGCGATAGTTTGTTAGTCCTTGCCCTGTCCGTCCGTCTTATCCTATTCTGCTCCGTTCGTTTCTTTAAACTGGGAACACCGGCAATAATTCAACTGGACGCGGTATTCAAGTTACGAGGGTGGTTTTTTGCTTTTGCTTTCACCTTTGCTTTCGCTACGCTTGCCTTATTTTTTCTTCTTCTCTCCTCTTCTTTCCATTCCATTCCATTCCTCCTGCTCGCTCGCTGTTCCCGAAGGCGTTCGCTCGGTCGGTCGATCCGGTGGAAGTTCAAGTTTCAAGGTAGTCTATTGACGGACGGAAGGGGGAAGAGAGTAGGAGGTGACTACATAATTTCAAACCGATGGTGAAATGCTCGTGATGGTTGTAAGTCTTTTGATCGATACCGTACCGTATATCCGTCGTATCGTATCTCGGTAAATTACTTGCCTATATGGAAAGGAGGGGTCCGTTTGTTCCTGTCCTGTGTAAAAAAAAGGTTAAATGACCACCACGCACGGTACGTATTATGTTATACATATACAGAACACGCGGATACGCACTTAGCGGTCTTTTAGATTACACAAGCGCAGCACAAGTAGAGTACTAGTACAAGTGAAAGTAGAGTACGAGTACAGTACATTTCCTAACGATACCCAATACAATCCGATGGATTATTAATTATATGGAGTGGAAAGAACTGACTGAACGAATGGTACAGTATTATAACAGTACAGTGCCGATATGGTACTCGAGTACATTACTCGTACTGTACCGGTATGCGTGATACAAAGATTCTGGAGTACTATAAGTGTCATACATATATTATTTAACTTACAGTAAAACACCCATCAACCGCCACCCACGGGCAAATTTTTTATTTTTATTTTTTTCATTTCATTTCATCTCACGTATGATATGATATTTATTACAGTTATGGAAAGTGTACGAGTATTGTGGGTGCCATGATACGGTAATCGATTTACCCGTTGGATTACCGCCGGTTACTCTACCGTGCTGTGCAGTACCTGCATCTCACCCGCAGGTTTCCGTACCGTAGCTTACCGTGTTTGATGTCTGTACTAGAGTATGTACTATATACTCAAGTACAGAACCGGTACCGTACTATTCGTATCATACTGTGCTGTGCTGTGCTGTGCTGTGCTGCATCGCCGTGTGCTGTACTGTACCGTACTCTACTAGTATCATACAAGGGAGCAAGATATGACCAAGTTACCGGTACTTTTGCAAGAATACCGGTGCAGTAGAGTGCCGCTGTGGCATCTCTTTCCCTTCCCTCTTCCTTCCTTCTCGAAGGCGTTTGTGGGCACATGTTCCAAGATTCGTCCTTTTCTTCGCTTTCGCTTGCTGCTCTACTCGCCTGTCGCCTTTCTGCGCGGCCTGGCCGACGGGGTTGGGGTTTGTAACTGGCTGGTTGGGCGGTTGGTATCTAGGTCGGTGTGTTGTGCGGTGACATAACTTACTTGTACGTGTATAATACTAGAGTAATATCAGAGATGGTTGCTACGAGTACGGTACTCGAGTATACAGTACTTGTACCAAGTGCGCTTTTTGTGCGCTGCACATCGGAAATGCTTGTTTTGACATGTTGGGTTTGGGTGGGTGGGGGATTGAACCATGGGTGAGATGTCACGGGTTGCGCCTTACTTGAGATGGAGGGGAGGAACATAGCAAAATGGAATGGAAAAGGGAAAGAATTGAACAATAATATATAGTTAATTTTGTCATCATTCTTTTTAGGTCTATAGTTTTCTCAGGAGATTTCCTTCCTTCCTGAATGTTTGAGCGGAGGAAGAAAAAAAACTAAAACCTGTTTATGCTTTAAAAACTGGTTAGAAAATTTGAGCATAGCAAAAAAGTCTTGTTATGAAAAAGCTAGTAGAGCGTCCAAATCAGACTTCCAAGAAAGGTCTTGCAGCGGTCACGTTACGCACACTTATAGAATGGGTTCTAGCGTGTGCTACCGAGGAAACTGCGAATGTAGGAATTTTTTCATCATGGTGAAGGGAGGGGCAAAACAAAGAGACAACGGGGGAGGGGAGAAGGGGGTAGCAAACCATTCAGAGATATGTGGACATTCCGTCGAGCGTATTAACTAATTACTGTGATAATTTGCCTAATAACCTATAGGAAGGGTAAATGTTAGCGGGGTTGACTTGAAGCTATCTATGGGTTTCGGAAATTGTGGAACAATTCTCTTCGAGATCAGACAGAATAGTACTGGCAAGTAGCAAGCCTTTTCCCTCTTCCCGAAGGAATTAGGAGAGGCCCGAGCTGCATCTGGCTTCGATCATGGTCGATTATGATTTGGAAAGAAGTTGCAGAAGTGATCATCATTTCGAAGAGCGGGGAGGTAATTATTGATATCGAGAAAAAGGAGAAATTACCTGAGCACCCATCCGGTATCCGTGCCAAAGACAGGCAGTCGGCGTGGAGCTGTATGCTGTGTGCTGTGTGTGTTGCTGTGAGTTGTTGAGTGGAGTGTTCGACGAAGAGAAAGGAGGTTGTCAGAGATCCGAATTTATACCCTTGAGTGGGAGGAAAAAAAAATTCGCCGACGGAAACCCTATTGATGGAAACGATGGCTTGGCATCGTACTGCATTTGGTGAATTAAGGGCAAACTCCTGGAGGATAGGGAAAAAGGGGGCAAATTAGGTGGCATTTCATAAAAAAAGCACCCCCTTCTTCCCCTCAGGGAAAAAAGGTAAGAGGATGAGAGAGAAAGGGAAGGGAGGGAAGAAAAACAGTGAAAAAGAGAGACCACCCCCCCCCTTCGAAGGCGAGGAAAGAGAGAAAGAGAAAGAAAAAGCTTTAACCCGCCCGCCCTTTTTTCTGTCTGTCCGGTGTCCATCTTGTCTGCCTGTTCATTGCGCGTCGCTGTGATCGCATTCAATCCATCATCAATCATCACCTAGATCTTTCATCACTAACCGCTTTTTCTCGTGCGAAGACAGGGAAGGAAACAAGGGGGAAAAAAAAGAAGAGAGAATAGCCCTGAGATTTGTCGGGGTTTTATTCCGATTTCTCTCCCTCAAGTTTTTTTTAAATTTTTTTTTTTATATTATCTGTTCATTGGTATTTTCTCTTTCTTGAAGCCCTATTCACTTCATCGGCGAAACCTCTACCGAAACAGTGCTGTTATAAAGCTCTATTCGAGTGCCATATCAGATTGGACGCTCTAACTTGTCCCCCACGGCTCTTGGGAACTCTTGTCTGTTCTGCGATATAAGAAAAAAGGGTTAGAGAATAGGCAAAGGGCGTAAGGGAAAACGCAAGGTTACCGGTACGAAGAACGAAGGAAAGGAAAAAAACGAAGCGAAGCCAGCAAGGCGGTCATGAGATCTCAGAGTTTCCTGCTTTCATAGCCATCCTCCATCTTCCATCCTTTTTTTTTTTTTTTGGCTTTTTCTTTTTGTTTTTCACTTGGATACGGTGCTTCATACGGTATTCTTGCTATATCTGCGGCGAATTTCCCACCCGCTGTACCCCCAACCTCCCACCCGCTCTCTCTCTACCTGCTCCCACTTGTTACTACCCATCACTTTCTCTCCCACAATACCCCCGGTCCCACCCTATCTCCCCTAAACTCTACACAGCTCGCAAGCTGCTTCCCCTCCTTCTCGATCCTGCCGTGTACGTGTTGCTGCCTACCGGTATCGGTCTTCCACTGTCCTGTGGCTCGGAAACGCCCAACCTCCGTAGATTACTTTGGGGTCGTTACTCGGTGCATCGCGCGCGACGGAGCCAGCCCATTCCCTTCCGGCGAGCCTCAACAACCCTAAACCCCTCTCCTGTTCTGCACGCCGCAGAACATAACACGACCCTCTCTTTCGCAAAGCAACTCACTTCTGGCTCAGCTACCCAACCCTTCAAAGGGAAAAATACCATTCTCCCGCCATCACCACAAAGGTATCTACAATTACACCATTCAACCTCAACCTCCCCCCCTCATCACCTCTCCTAATAAATTTAGCTCACGACTGTTCCATCACAGTTATTGTTCCTTTCACCCTCCCCCTCTCGGCGCTGGGCTCGTCGCTTCGGACGGGTTCCGGGTCAAACTAGGGTTTCTGGAAATATCGTCTGCTCTCTCGCGGCTCTCGCCTGCCCGGTCTTGAATACCGCGGCGCGACTTTCTTTCTCCCGGCCCGACCGCCTTGCGGTAGCTTCGCATATCAGATTTTTTCTCGATCCCGCGCTTTCCTCCACCTAACGGACCGGACCCCGTACACCTTTCTCCATTATGATGACCACCTCCGCCTCATATTCACATCCTAACCAATTGCAGCAACATCCAGGTGTCCAACAAGGTCCTCAACAGCATATTCAAGGGCACCCGGGACAACCTGCTCACGCCGCAATGCAGCACCTACATCCTCAGCAGGCCCAAGCTCAAGCAGCCCAAGCCGCTGCTTACCAGCAGCAGCAGCAGCTCGTGTGTTAGTGGCCCCTCAAACTCCATGTTTTCCTACATCGCCTCAATTGGCGCGTACTAGTTGTCGCGATTGTGCCCCCCCAATCGTGACATGGTCCGAGGAAGATTGACAGTTGATGATTCTAATTTGGGTTGTGTGAATAGTGGCAGGAATGCACCCACAGATGGCCCAGATACAACAACAACTGCGGCGGCAGCAACAGCAGCAGCAGCAGGCACATCTGATGAATGGAATGGGAGCCCCCGGGGGCATGGTCTTTCAGAATAATGGAAATCCTCAAGTTCGGACCGGCATGCCAAATGGGATGTATCAGGGTGGACCCGGAGGAATTCCCGGTGCAAATATGGGGGGCTACGGAGCTGGAAATCCTCACATGAGAGGAAATGTAAACCTTCCGCCTCATGTGCAACAATTACATGCCCACCACCAGCAGCAACAACAGCAGCAGATGGCGGTTGCTGCACAGCAAATCGCATTAAACCAAGCGAACGCAGCAAATGCTCAAACACCCATGGCGATGCCTCCACAACCGCCGATACCCATGCAAGCAGCTCAACAGGCAGCAATGGCGGCAGCTCAAGCTCGCCAAACACCGTAACTCCACCTCTTTAGTTTTGAGATTCTGCTATCAGGCTAATTCACTGCTTTGATTAGAAAAACATTACTTGGACACTCAGTCCTTGGATTGTATCGGTTTTCCGGGCACCTTTCGGCATTTGATGCTAGTAAAGAATCAAACGATATAGATCGTTGGCGGAGGTTCGTAGCAGAGTTCTACGCACCATCTGGAGTGATGCGACAACGTCTGTGGCATAACAACACACGGGAAACCAAGCAGTTTGAAGTAACCACCCAGGTACTGGCGAGGTATTACTTCGTCCTATTCGGGTCAGGAGTTCAAAATATCCAGATAGTGCTGGAAAACGTCCGGGAAAAGGAGCTCGCAAACCAGTGTCATATTGTAGAGTGCCCAAAAACGAGCTTCATATATTGGTTTGGGAATGGATTGCACGTTAGTTTCTATTCCACCCCTAGATAACGGTTACTGTGTCGGCCCTCTAACCATTACCGATAGTTGGTTGCTCGTGGAGGCCTGCGGGCGACATTTAACGCGAGTTCCAAAATGGAAGAATTGGACTTCCAGGTCGAGGAGCACTCGGAATACGTCCCTCGAAACTTTGGTCAAGATTCACCAGATATTATGAAATCTTCTCCGGGTAGCAAATCACTAGGCAAACGTCCGTCGCAGCAGGGACACGCATCAGAAAATATAGTAAACAATTATGGCGTACCCCACGCAGTGCTTCAATGCTTAGAGGTTTACATCACCCCGAATTCTGCTTGGAGCTGTTGGGCTGATTAGTGCGATAAAAAAGATATCGGAAACAATGTCGCAAATGCGAGACTTGTTCAATTACTCACACTTGAACCCCGCTCTTGCTCCACGACAAGCTCTGCAAAGCTATGTCAGCCAACAGCAGCAACAGCAGCATGCTCAGCAGCAGCAGCACCTGGCGAACCAGCACGCCCAACAGCAGCAGCAGCAGCAGCAGCAGCAGGCTCAAGCAGCGGTGATGGCGGCAACAGCACCCGGACTACAGGTCCAACAGGGTCACCCAGGTGGCCATGCTGGTCCAGGTATGCTTCAACATCCTGGGCAACATCTGGGCGTGCCGGGTGGTGTACCAGTCGGGATGAACTCGCCCTCGGCAGATGGAATGAGAATGGGTGTTCCTCCATCACCACATATGGGAGGCGGCGGAGGACCAGGGACAACGCCTAGTCCTGCCCAAAACCATATTCAGGCTCCTGGGTTAGTACAACAACATTCACAACAAGCCCACCCGACGAGCAACCCCAGTTCGCAAACAAGTACTACCGTTGTGAGTGCGAATACATCGCCCAATACTAACAAACGGCGAAGGGCTAGTACTACGAGCAACGTGAAAAACGAAGGAGATGACGAAAGTGGAGTCAATGGAGCTCAGAACAACAAGATCAAGCAAAGCCCAAGGGTAGGGGGGAACAAACGAGTAAAGGGGAACAACGCTACATGAACTTTAGTGAGGGCTGTTCTGCTTTTTCCTTACCTACCGCAGCTTTTGCTCCACCTTATGATCATAGCCTTGTATGAGATCCATGATCCCTATTTGTTTTGTGTATTTTTTTTATTTCTGGTTCTACCCGTACTATTCCCGCCATTTCTGGTGCTGGTCTAGATACGATTATCTATTTTTTTTTCCCATTGAGTTCCGGGTAGGAGGGTCACGTTGAATCATCTACCTAGAGTTTGGAGTGCAAAGGTTAGCTGCTAGTGCGTGGGGAGAGCTGAGACGGATTTGGGCGGAGCGCAAGTTTCCTAATTCTCCTTTTGTTAACGCAAACTTGTGGCTCTCGGTTTTTATACCTAATAACTATCTCTCCTGACTGCACCTTACTCGGTTTTCTTGAACATTGTTTTTCTTACATTTTTCTTGATTTCTTTCTATTCACCTTTTCCTTTTTACAAGGGTTCTTCCTGTGGTTCCTCCTTCCTATTTGATTTCTCTTTAAATTTCAATCCACCTATTTTCTACTTTTTTTCTTCTCCCATCTCTTTTGTCCACATTTCCTATGTACTTTCGGGCTCTTGGATCAAGCGGGGCGTTCTTATTTGCCTGTTATGATAAGTGGTTTTGTGATGCGCAGTTGCGCTTATTCAAATACTCACAATTGCACAAAAAAAAAAACACTTGCTTCTCCTTTCCTCCTGAGGTCGGGATTGGTGTGGAGGTGGAGGTTGTTTCCTTACCTGTTGGAAGGATTTGGAATCACCAATCCCAGTGAGGGTATGGGGCTAGGAAGGTTACCTTTTTGTTGGCTCTGAGAAGGTTGGTGGGTTGTGGTGGTACGGGATCATTGAGCTAGAAGGATTAATGCTTGAACTCGTAACCTTTAAACATCATGCAAGAAGGATCCTTTTACTACTTACCCTTATTGTGGGAGTTGAAGGGGCGGCGGAGCTCATCTCATGTAGTTTTTCCAAGAAGTTATAGTTTGTTGTCTTTGATCCCCCCATTGCATATGCTAACGGTCCAATGTATGATATTACATAAGGTTGAAAATCTTAACTCTCTTTATTGCAAAAGTGCTGTGCCAGTGCTGTACTTTACTCGTACTGTACAGTACTGTTTCACAACCAAAATAGCGGTACGTACAAGCACAAGAGCCTTTCAGCAAACCGCGCTGTGAGGTTATGATGCTACACACAGTACTGTACCAGAGCACCTCACCCGGTAAAAGATCGGCAGTCGGCAGTTACGCACGCCGATAAGGCTTTTACTCACCCCGCCATCTCAACCTCATCCCTCTATCTCCCTTTCCCACCTGTATCACGTGTCTTACCGGCTGCTTCCCAGTTCAACTCAGGGTCCGTTTACCTACTGTATACTCGAGCGGACGGCCGCCTAGACGGTTGGGTGTTGTGTAAGGGAAATACACGGTTTGGTGTTTGCCTAATGCACCGTTTAAGTGCACTATCAAGTTCAAGCATTGGTACTCCTATCAACTATAGCTAATGCTAAACTATCAAGGGTTAAAAATCTCATGTAGATCGAGATGGAGGTTGCAGCAGCACCTCTGGAGCAACGTCTTGTTTTGACCGTCTAGCACCAAGATTTTCAGAAGGTCGAAAGTTGGGAGAACGTTTTTGAACCGTCTGTTGCAAGGTGGCATTGGATGAGATGCCGCCGTCTAGTTTAAGTACGATAATATTATGGTATCAGAGAAAAGGTCGGAAAAATTTGGGTGGCATGACAGGTATTGGGACCTCGGATCGATTAGCATAAGTTAAAAAAAAAGAAAAGAAGAGAAGAGGTTCCACAGGATGCTATTAATGCAGTTGCACTGAGTGATCTTTCATGATGCTGGATTTATATCATAATAATATTATCATAGCTTTTACTCAGCTAGGAATGCATCGGTTAGTCTATGATACAGCGGGGGGGCCAAAAATAAGTTCACATTTTAGTAAGCGCAAACACCTAAAAAAAAAAATAATTCGAAAAGTATTTTTGCTTCCCCGATGAACGTAGTGAACACCTAGGGATTCTAGTAAAAGAACATAGTAAACCTCATGCCAATAGTCTGACTCAAAAATGTACAAATTGAGTGAACGAGTAAACTGTTTTGAACCGGGTATGCTTAGTTGTCTAATACTGGTATATCGGTACTACTACTGTGGTACTGTGCGGTATTGAGAACCAGTAGTATGATATATGGGGTATGTGGAATTTCTCGTCTCTCGTAGATAGCTTAAAGAAGCAACATTTGAGGGGTGAGAAAATCACAGAAGCATGGAAAAGTTAGGAGAAAGAATGAAGAACAAAAAATAATAATTTAAAATAAACAGAGAATAGAACGGGAGTAAAAAAATAATAGAAGTAACATAGTATAATAGGGGAGAGAGAGCAGGATGAGATATAGCACAGTACGGTGCAAGGTGCCTAGAGGTGGGTCCTCCGGTGAAGCACAAACCCTGTTGCAATCTGTTGCAATCTGGCTAAGTGAACGAGCCGATTTGGGCTGAGAATTGCCAGTACTGTACAGCATGAGTAAAGTGAAATGGTACACTTTAGGGAAGGAGCAAGTAGAATTTTAATTGAGGAGGCATACCCGGGCCAAGGTTGTGGCTAGCCGCCACAACCACTGGCTGCTCGCTCTCTCGCAACTTGGGCACTCCTCCTGAGTGCCTGACAGCTCAACGTCACTTTTCAGCTCAACGTCACTTTGTGGCTCAACACAACTTCGTGGCTTAAGGTTTTTTTATTCTTTTTTTAAAACCTTACTTGACTACTCAATAATATAATGTTAGAAACTTTTAATTTATATTATTTATCATACATCTATTTTCTCAACCTTGATCCTTGTTTAATACTTCTAATTATTAGCTGAGCTACTTTCTTTTTGTAGGCTTGAATAGCCCGGCACTCTTTAACATATGCCTTTATTGCATCTAGTAATGGCTTTTGCTCTGCTCGCTCTACTCGTTCTCTTGCATTTTGAGCTTTTTGTAACTGCTTTTCAGCTTTCTCAACTTCTATATCCTCTTTTCTTTTCACCATCTGGCATGCATCTTCAACATAAATTTCTCCATTTTTTTGAATCTGTCTTCTGTTTCATGCACTAGATCTTGCTCCTCTGGCATGTTCAGCTACCTGAGTATGCTCTAAGTGCTCTATTGTAAGGGCTTCTGACTGTACTTGAGTAAATCCAGCTTGTATTACAAGTTTAAGATGATGCTGAAAGGAAGGAGAAAGATTAGTAGCCTCACACTGCAATTTCTCCCCCTTTCTCTTCAAACTTGCAATGGTAAGAGAAATTGTTTGTGGTGAGGAAGGTGGTGGTGATGTTGTAGGTAATGGTAGAGAAACAACAAACTTCTGTAGTTTTGAGATTACTACATCTGGATTGTACAGGATAAGTCCCGTAGTTTGAAAGACAGATTGTAGAGTTGATTGCTTGAATATTTGCTTACGGATAGAGTCAATTATATCTGAAAACTCAACTTTATCAAACTTGCTATATCTAGTACATGTTGCAGCTTTAACTACCTCAGCATGGTAATATTTATAGGGTTGAAACACTAACATCTAGTGGTTGAAGAAGGTGACTAGAATGTGGAAGAAGGCAGAAGGGAATAATCCTGTGCTTATCACAGTAGTTGATAAACTATTTTGTATAGTGTGTTTCAAAGCCATCAAGAAGGAGGAGTCTATAGGTGCCAGCAAGTCTTAGTGATGAACATCTCTCAAAGTGAACCAACCACTTCATTGATAGTTCATTATTACTATAGCCTGTATCGGATATGTAAACTAGGTAATCATCAGGAATGGATATAGCAATGTATCATGCATGGCTCTTGATGAATTACACCTGGGACAATAATCAGAGGTGGAATAACAGAGATATTATCAGAAATTGTTTCATAAACTGACATGAGCTATCAATTTGTAGAGCTGCCAAGGTAGAATTGCCATGTAGAATCCTATGTAATAATCTACTGGTCTTTACCAATTCCAATTTAGAAGCTAGTTTTATCAAAATTATATAAATCTGAATGCTCAATATTATACTACTCACAAACTGTCTGATACTTTTCAAACCATGCTTTTATTTCATCAGGCTAGTACATATTTTTGTGGTTAGCGTCAATTGTACATTGCTTGTAGATAAAATACTCAGAGTGGTGTTTAAGAAAACGTTGTGTCTATTGCTCACTAACAACTGGTACAGAAGGGGGGAGGGGAATGAGACTTTTGAAGAACCAAATTTGAGCAACCAGAAACCTTTTAGAGTCGTGCACTAGTTCTAACAGTATCAAAAAGGTCCAGATACTGGCATACTACCAATTCTTGGTTCTCTGAAAGTACATGGTTTGTACCTGATCAATCTTGCCTTGATTGACAACCTTTCCACTGACCATGGAGACGTGAGACAGGAATTTTATAGACTCATGTAGTTGCTGCAATATTTAGTAAATAGTATTCAGAATTTTATAAGTCTGTAAGTGCTGCCTGGATTCGTGACTCAATATCGGTATATAGTTCAACATGCTGGCTAGGAAGTACAACAGATGATGAGGGGGCCATGATTGATAATGAGTTGATTCTGATGTTGAAATGGTTGAATATAAACAAGTTAATTTGATATCACTCTATATGATCAAGTTAAGTATACTTTAAAATTACATTTAATCTTAAGCCATAAAGTAATATTGAGCAACAAAGTACTGTTGAGGCACAAAGTGATGTCGAGCCACAGAGTAATGTTGAGCTACAAAGTGATGTTGAGCCACAAAGTTGTGTTGAGCCACAAAGTAATGTTGAGCTACAAAGTTGTTTTGAGTCATAAAGTGACGTTGAACTGAAAAGTGACATTGAGCTGAAAAGTGACGTTGAGCTATCAGGCACTCAGGACGAGTGCCCAGGTTGTGGTGGCTAGCTACAACCTTGGCATAAGTATTGGAAGTAGTTCTGAATTGGATAAGTTTTGAAAGTCTTAACTGTACACTAAGTAATTTGGAACAGAGGATATTTTAGTATTCAGGTACAATTTCATAAAGTATGTAGATGTTCAAGTCCTGGATTCAGCATAGTTATTTTTAATTTAGTCAAGCCACATATTACATTGTCACATAATATTATAATAAGGTATAATGCAATTAAATTTCATACAAAATTCTCTATTGATAACATCTACTATACACTAGGTTCCTGAGACATGGTGATGAGATTTATACTTTGTTAATACAATAGACTTGTACAGCTCATCTCCATATATTGTCCTAGTTTCATAAGCATTTATCATTTTCTTTACTTGATTTGAGAACTTTCATATCAATTTATTTGAAATCTGTACCATAGCCTCAGGAACCAAAGACTTAAGGGAAGTAAACGTGTATAGTACACAATACCTCTTGCTGTCACTCATGAAATGCTTGTGTCTGAAGAGTTGATGCAGATGGAGTATCTGTTTGTGGCCTGTCATACCTCTGTGAGATTGACATTATTGTATGTGGAGAGAATAACTTCAGATCTTATTGTGAAAACTGAGAAAGCTTTGAAAATCGGTAGAGTAGTAAGTGATATTGATATAAAAATATTTATTTCCCTTGGATTTACATACACTTTCTTTTTATGATATTGTATTTATGATATGTCATTATTTTAACAAAAATGTCTCCATCTAA